GTAAAACCATTCATAGGGGCATTCACTATAAACATCAATTATTTTCAATCTTAGGCATACGAGGCGTTTTGCTTGCTTGAGTGTTTCTGCATTACATGAGTGGCGTTGCAATATAAATCGCAGCACGTTTCAGATGAAAAAACGCGGCTTCTATTTCTGAAAATATCACAGTTAGGAAATTTATTACGAGTGGTTCCCTGCATTATTACAGCAAAGCGCATGATTACAGTACTAAGCCGCTGCTCTAATGCTATTAAATTAAAGATGATATACCATAGAGCAAAAAAATTAACAGTGAAGGTAACAAAAACTTGTAAAATACATTTTAATGGGCATAATTAAGTGTGAAAATAACCGAAGAATATACAGTGAAACCAAAAATGATTCAGAGACCAGATATAATTTTTTTAAATATTTTTTTAGTAGTGGGTGCAGGACACTATAGTTAATTTATGTAAGTGAGGATAGCAAAATAAAGTAAACTGTGACAAATCATCCCCAAAAATTCTTGCTTGAGCTGGGTGACAGCATGCCCAGGAGACTACAGGCTGTCATTGAGGCTAAGGGTCACCCGACAAAGTATTGATAGTTGTGTAAATACGGTCATACTAACAGCTGTCTGAATTATTTTGGTTGATTGTAATCTATTACATACCTTTCAAAATTATCTAACATTATCACGATGAATTTGTTCTGACACAGTGTAACTTCATATTTTATTACCATTTTCTAAACTATAGGGATTATATTGTGAGAAATGTTGAAGATGTCTGAATAAATTTTGGTTTGACTATCTATTTAATAAGTTAACTAGCTAACATTATACATACCCTTTTGTTTTCTGTACCCAATATTTAAAAAATTTACAAATGCAATAAAAATATCGGTATCAGTACTCGGTATCGGCAAGTACCAAAAATAAAAGTATCGGTATCGGGCGAGTACTGGAAAAAGTGGTATCGGTGCATCCCTAATGGGTAGTATTCGCCTCTTAAAATTACAGGCAAACATTTATGCTAATAGACAAATGTATTAAACAAGTTGCAATGAGACGCACATATACAGTACCTCAGCACACTATTTTCATCCATGGTGAGCATCAACAAATTTTAAATCAGTAAAAATATGAACTCTGATCCACATGACAGCTAACTGACAGTGACAACAGCAGCATAAATTAAGCCAGTAAACAATGATAGTATTTTAATAATAATTAACATAGAATATTTTCGAGCTGCAATGCATGCTGGGAACTTGTGCAATATTGTTCAGTGTGAAATTGTTTGTTCGGATGACCCAGTTTGAAAAGTTGGGAGAACATTTGCATATGTTGTGAACAAATACTTGAGTATATACAGTAAGTAAGGTAAACAAAACTTTTGCTAGTGACATGTTTAGAGTATTTTTGTTCAGTTCACACAAAAAATTAAACTGACTTCTACTAAAAAATTATTTGTTCAGGCTACTTTTTGAACTTTTCGAAAGTTGGATTTTTTTTACAGTGAAGAAATTATTGTGGTGATCAGTCTTGCCGCAGTGCTCAAACACAATAAATCATAGTCACACGTTTAACCACATGCCCTTTCCTTCTGTGGTTATGCACTCTTTCTGAGCAAAGTCTGAGATCAGGTGTCACCCGAGGTTCAGAGTCTACCTGAATATGATTCATCAATTAGAAACTTTTGTCACATGTATTTGTCAGATTATTAAAAAAACTTTAAAGGAAAAATAATATATAGATAATGATTTTAAATTCAAATACTTAAGAGATGAAAGGTGAAATATTCCAGAATTTCTTTATAGTAATGTTAAAATCAGGACAATTTATTTTGCACTTTTACCTAAGAACTTATGAATACCACTTGAATTCAGTTTTGTGTACTTTTTTATTTTTTACTAACAAAGAAGATAAGTTTTGTAAGTTAGGTCATGATCTGATACCTTTATTAGGTGTCATCGCCTAATTATTTAATTAAGAATTTATAAGTGTAACTTAGGGTTAATACTTCATGGTTGATCAGGGTCATGTTAAAGGGATAGTTCACCTTCAGTTGCTGGTGCCCATTGACTTGCATAGTGTTTTTTTCCATACTATGGAAGTCAATGGGGACCTGCAACTGAAGGTGAACTATCCCTTTAACATGACCCTGATCAACCATGAAGTATTAACCCTAAGTTACACTTATAAATTCTTAATTAAATAATTAGGCGATGACACCTAATAAAGGTATCAGATCATGACCTAACTTACAAAACTTATCTTCTTTGTTAGTAAAAAATAAAAAAGTACACAAAACTGAATTCAAGTGGTATTCATAAGTTCTTAGGTAAAAGTGCAAAATAAATTGTCCTGATTTTAACATTACTATAAAGAAATTCTGGAATATTTCACCTTTCATCTCTTAAGTATTTGAATTTAAAATCATTATCTATATATTATTTTTCCTTTAAAGTTTTTTTAATAATCTGACAAATACATGTGACAAAAGTTTCTAATTGATGAATCATATTCAGGTAGACTCTGAACCTCGGGTGACACCTGATCTCAGACTTTGCTCAGAAAGAGTGCATAACCACAGAAGGAAAGGGCATGTGGTTAAACGTGTGACTATGATTTATTGTGTTTGAGCACTGCGGCAAGACTGATCACCACAATAATTTCTTCACTGTAAAAAAATCCAACTTTCGAAAAGTTCAAAAAGTAGCCTGAACAAATAATTTTTTAGTAGAAGTCAGTTTAATTTTTTGTGTGAACTGAACAAAAATACTCTAAACATGTCACTAGCAAAAGTTTTGTTTACCTTACTTACTGTATATACTCAAGTATTTGTTCACAACATATGCAAATGTTCTCCCAACTTTTCAAACTGGGTCATCCGAACAAACAATTTCACACTGAACAATATTGCACAAGTTCCCAGCATGCATTGCAGCTCGAAAATATTCTATGTTAATTATTATTAAAATACTATCATTGTTTACTGGCTTAATTTATGCTGCTGTTGTCACTGTCAGTTAGCTGTCATGTGGATCAGAGTTCATATTTTTACTGATTTAAAATTTGTTGATGCTCACCATGGATGAAAATAGTGTGCTGAGGTACTGTATATGTGCGTCTCATTGCAACTTGTTTAATACATTTGTCTATTAGCATAAATGTTTGCCTGTAATTTTAAGAGGCGAATACTACCCATTAGGGATGCACCGATACCACTTTTTCCAGTACTCGCCCGATACCGATACTTTTATTTTTGGTACTTGCCGATACCGAGTACTGATACCGATATTTTTATTGCATTTGTAAATTTTTTAAATATTGGGTACAGAAAACAAAAGGGTATGTATAATGTTAGCTAGTTAACTTATTAAATAGATAGTCAAACCAAAATTTATTCAGACATCTTCAACATTTCTCACAATATAATCCCTATAGTTTAGAAAATGGTAATAAAATATGAAGTTACACTGTGTCAGAACAAATTCATCGTGATAATGTTAGATAATTTTGAAAGGTATGTAATAGATTACAATCAACCAAAATAATTCAGACAGCTGTTAGTATGACCGTATTTACACAATTATCAATACTTTGTCGGGTGACCCTTAGCCTCAATGACAGCCTGTAGTCTCCTGGGCATGCTGTCACCCAGCTCAAGCAAGAATTTTTGGGGATGATTTGTCACAGTTTACTTTATTTTGCTATCCTCACTTACATAAATTAACTATAGTGTCCTGCACCCACTACTAAAAAAATATTTAAAAAAATTATATCTGGTCTCTGAATCATTTTTGGTTTCACTGTATATTCTTCGGTTATTTTCACACTTAATTATGCCCATTAAAATGTATTTTACAAGTTTTTGTTACCTTCACTGTTAATTTTTTTGCTCTATGGTATATCATCTTTAATTTAATAGCATTAGAGCAGCGGCTTAGTACTGTAATCATGCGCTTTGCTGTAATAATGCAGGGAACCACTCGTAATATGTCTGAATAAATTTTGGTTTGACTATCTATTTAATAAGTTAACTAGCTAACATTATACATACCCTTTTGTTTTCTGTACCCAATATTTAAAAAATTTACAAATGCAATAAAAATATCGGTATCAGTACTCGGTATCGGCAAGTACCAAAAATAAAAGTATCGGTATCGGGCGAGTACTGGAAAAAGTGGTATCGGTGCATCCCTAATGGGTAGTATTCGCCTCTTAAAATTACAGGCAAACATTTATGCTAATAGACAAATGTATTAAACAAGTTGCAATGAGACGCACATATACAGTACCTCAGCACACTATTTTCATCCATGGTGAGCATCAACAAATTTTAAATCAGTAAAAATATGAACTCTGATCCACATGACAGCTAACTGACAGTGACAACAGCAGCATAAATTAAGCCAGTAAACAATGATAGTATTTTAATAATAATTAACATAGAATATTTTCGAGCTGCAATGCATGCTGGGAACTTGTGCAATATTGTTCAGTGTGAAATTGTTTGTTCGGATGACCCAGTTTGAAAAGTTGGGAGAACATTTGCATATGTTGTGAACAAATACTTGAGTATATACAGTAAGTAAGGTAAACAAAACTTTTGCTAGTGACATGTTTAGAGTATTTTTGTTCAGTTCACACAAAAAATTAAACTGACTTCTACTAAAAAATTATTTGTTCAGGCTACTTTTTGAACTTTTCGAAAGTTGGATTTTTTTACAGTGAAGAAATTATTGTGGTGATCAGTCTTGCCGCAGTGCTCAAACACAATAAATCATAGTCACACGTTTAACCACATGCCCTTTCCTTCTGTGGTTATGCACTCTTTCTGAGCAAAGTCTGAGATCAGGTGTCACCCGAGGTTCAGAGTCTACCTGAATATGATTCATCAATTAGAAACTTTTGTCACATGTATTTGTCAGATTATTAAAAAAACTTTAAAGGAAAAATAATATATAGATAATGATTTTAAATTCAAATACTTAAGAGATGAAAGGTGAAATATTCCAGAATTTCTTTATAGTAATGTTAAAATCAGGACAATTTATTTTGCACTTTTACCTAAGAACTTATGAATACCACTTGAATTCAGTTTTGTGTACTTTTTTATTTTTTACTAACAAAGAAGATAAGTTTTGTAAGTTAGGTCATGATCTGATACCTTTATTAGGTGTCATCGCCTAATTATTTAATTAAGAATTTATAAGTGTAACTTAGGGTTAATACTTCATGGTTGATCAGGGTCATGTTAAAGGGATAGTTCACCTTCAGTTGCAGGTCCCCATTGACTTCCATAGTATGGAAAAAAACACTATGCAAGTCAATGGGCACCAGCAACTGAAGGTGAACTATCCCTTTAAGATGTTAATTCTAGGACATGTTTAAACAAAGATGTGAAACCTGGTTTGAAAAAGTAGCTTTTTATTACAGGATTACTTTTATGTTTTAGAAAACGCTTTATATCTAAAAAATCTTGTGTGTGTGTGTCTCACAGGAGTAAGACGGCAGCCTTCACTGATAGTAGGATACGCACTATGAATGAGGTGGTGTCTGGTATACGTATAATTAAGATGTATGCCTGGGAGAAGCCATTCGCAGCACTGGTTAATGATGAACGAAGGTAAATGATAAAGACTTATTTAATCTGTTTACACTGCTGCAGCTCTGACATTGGTCAGCAGAATTCTTGACTGAAGATGACAAAATGCCAAAGGTTTTTTTAAAGGTTTTAATAGGTTTTTTAAAGGACGACTTGTATTGATTTTATTGTAAAGATCTGTAAAACCTTGAGTTGGTCAAATGATAGAATGATTGAAAACACCTGTGCCATTAAGCTATATGTGTTGACTTAAAATTCAATTGACTGTAAATGTAAATTGACTGTAGAAGACGACTAAAGCATTCCTTGAGGCAATGCTGAGAATGCATTGCAAGCCCAATCCAATGCCATAAACTCGCATGACTAGAACCAGTTGTGTTCACGTACTGTGGTCCAGGACTTGGGGGAATGTCAGCATGTCAAAAAAGTAAAGATTTGATAGTTTATCACAATTTGAAGCCATGAAATCTCAGTTTTACCCTGGCAATGCCATAAAGAATGCTGCTTTTAATCTTATCTGTGGTTCTGTTTCTAATGTCTTTTTAACCATGAAAACACAGAATGAACTTTGTGCAAGCCAGCCTTGTAAAGTACTTCTATGCAAGGCCATCCATCTCTTGGACATAATAATCTTTATGACTCTTGGGCATTAATAGCTAAAATCTCTTTTTTGTTTGTTTGTTTCTTGTAGAAAGGAGATCTCAAAAATCATGAACAGCTCTTACCTCCGAGGACTGAACATGGCCTCGTTCTTTACGGCGAATAAAATCATCCTGTTTGTGACGTTCACGGTGTACGTTCTGGTGGGCAACAAAATCTCTGCCAGCCGTGTGTTTGTGGTCGTGTCGCTGTACAGCGCCATCCGCCTCACCGTTACTTTGTTCTTCCCTGCTGCTATCGAGAAAGTGTCCGAGTCTGCCATCAGCATCCGGAGGATCAAGGTATGACCGCCATCATTAGGCCGAAACTATACTATATCCAGGGTGTCCGCGAGTCCTTAAAAAGTCTTAAAATGTCTTAAAGGGGTCATATGATGCGATTTCAAGTTTTCCTTTCTCTTTGGAGTGTTACAAGCTGATTGTGCATAGATAAGATCCCTGAAGTTGCAAAGACTAAAGTCACAAACCCAAAGAGATTTTTTTATCAAAGTTAAGACTCTGCCATGCCCCCCTAAAACGGCTCGTTCTAACACGCCCCCACATATCTACCTCATTATGTGGAAATATTTGCATAATGCCGCCCAAATGTGCACGCAAAGAAAGAAGGCATGGTTTCAGTAACCGCAGTTAGTGTTGAAGCAGCATGTCAGGGAGACGCTGTGTGTTTCTAGGCGAAAGCAAAAGCACTTTATTTGGCCTTCCGAAAGTAGATGCATTTAAGAATCTTTAAGATTACTTACAACAGAACAGCAATGCATTTTATGAACGACCGTTTCGTGAACCTAGGAGAGGAGATAATTCTGACTTTGCTATGACAATCTGCGCTTCTGAATCAGTTACTGTTTTGTTATTAGTTTAAGTATTTGCTATTGACTGTTCAAATGCGGAGTTTTGCGCATCGTGTGAAACGGCTCGTTCTAACACGCCCCCACATATCTACCTCATTATGTGGAAATATTTGCATAATGCCGCCCAAATGTGCACGCAAAGAAAGAAGGCATGGTTTCAGTAACCGCAGTTAGTGTTGAAGCAGCATGTCAGGGAGACGCTGTGTGTTTCTAGGCGAAAGCAAAAGCACTTTATTTGGCCTTCCGAAAGTAGATGCATTTAAGAATCTTTAAGATTACTTACAACAGAACAGCAATGCACTTTATGGACGACCGTTTCGTGACCCTAGGAGAGGAGGTAACTCTGACTTTGCTATGTCAATCTGGCGCTTCTGAATCAGCTACTGTTTTGTTATTAGTTTAAGTATTTGCTATTGACTGTTCAAATGCAGAGTTTTGCGCATCGTGTGTGTGTGTGCGCGTGCGTGCGTGAGAGAGCGAGACCAGCTTCATCACTGTGTCTGTCACGCGACTCTGTTCCCCTTTCGGGCTCTGTCTTTACATTTATTTTGAAAGATGAAGCTCGCGATTATGGTAAGGGGCGTTACATTTCCGACGCGTGCTTGCGGTGTTCGGCCAATCACAATGCACTGGGTCAGCTGGCCAATCAGAGCAGAGGAGGGGCTTTGTAGAAAACGAAGCGTTTAAGAGAGGCGGGGCATAGAGGACCTACAATAATGTACAGTATTTGAAAAATAATGTGTTTTTTTAACATTAAAGCATGTCAACATATTCTTTTACACCAAATACACAAAATAATGATCTTTAAAAATGCATCATATGACCCCCTTTAAATAACGTTTTCCTAATATAAGGCCTTAAAAAGTCTTAAAATGTCTTAAATTCGGATTCGATGGGTCTTAATTATTTTTGGTCTCATTACCGCTAAAATATCTTAAGTCTGATGGACCTAATGACTTTACAATCATTGGACAGACTGAAGATTTGTTCTTCCCGCGGTAAGTTACTGCGAAGTTACAGCGTCATCAGAGAGAATAGGTTGTTTGCACATGACGTCACTGATGACGTGCGAAATGCAGCTGGAGGGCAGGAAGTGATTTTTCAACATAGAAATCACTAGAAGAAACACAAAATGCCTCTGTTTTGCGTTATGGATGCTCAAATTGGCCAAACCGAGAAACCACAAGGAGCTTTTATCGTGTATGAAAATGTGTTGTTCATAAGGGGGGAAAAGTCAAGAAATTGATTGAAAAACACAGGAAAAAGTGGCTTGTAAGCCTGCGTCTGCGGTCGGGAGGAGCGGAGCCGGAAAATGCTCGTGTGTGCAAATGGTTAATATAAGATATAATAATATATTAAGATATTAATAAAGATATAAATAAATAGATACAGGGTGACACAGTCAGAATTCACTGAAACGCCACACATAGACACGATGTAAATAAGATATTATTTGCAGTTCAGAGAGCTTCACTGATTATAAAGGAACATCGTGAGATTGCGATAAATTGAAGTGAGTGACCGCTTTTTAGTGATTATATGGAAGCGCTATTTGCTTGCTTTATAGGCTATAATAAATTCAGAATTTGAATAAAAGTTTTGTTTTATGTGCTGCCAACAGGACCAACAGCCGCATACCCTGTTCGTGCAGCAAAGTTTCAGGAGTGACTGAAAAAGCAGAACGGATGAGATGGAGGAAAGTCCGTACTGTACTGTTTTAGGCATGAGGCATTTTTTTATATAGCGCTTTCATTGTATTGCTGTACACCCAACGCGCTTTACAATCATATGATGGGATATCTCTCTTCAACCGCCACGCTATTACAAAAGAAAGGTATTTATAATCACAACATATGTTGGACGTGATCCTTATGTTTTTTTTTTTTTAAATCCCGATTTTTAAACTAAATTGAAAGACTTGCCTGCCATATAGGCTAAGCAACTAACCCTGATTTTAAACAAGCTATTTTTTTGCTTATGAGCAACACATTTTCGTACACAATAAAAGCTCCTTGTGGTTTCTCGGTTTGGCCGATATGAGCATCCATAAACAACGCAAAACACAGGCATTTTGAGTTTCTGCTAGTAATTTCTATGTTGAAAAATCACTTCCTGCCCTCCAGCTGCATTTCGTGCGTCATCAGAATCACGTGATTGCAAACAACCTATTGCAGTAAGTTAGCAGAATACAGAATACAAGCTCGCGCTGAGGCTCACTCTGTTTGTCTCGAGACTTCAGAACAAATGAGCGTAACCGCACACATAAACTCAGAAGAAACACACTGAGTTAAAAATTCAAAATGTTTAGTTTATTCATAACATGATATACAGTGGGTACGGAAAGTATTCAGACCCCCTTAAATTTTTCACTCTTTGTTATATTGCAGCCATTTGCTAAAATCATTTAAGTTAATTTTTTTTCCTCATTAATGTACACACAGCACCCCATATTGACAGAAAAACACAGAATTGTTGACATTTATGCAGATTTATTAAAAAAGAAAATCTGAAATATCACATGGTCCTAAGTATTCAGACCCTTTGCTCAGTATTTAGTAGAAACACCCTTTTGATCTAATACAGCCATGAGTAAAAAGGTTAAAAATAGGCATTTGTAAAGGTAAATATGCAGATTTAAGTATGTAAAAGCTGATAGAACACTGATGAAAATATTGCTTCAGAATAAATATACTCCACCAAAAATCTCAGTGATGCAGTTATTTTGCAGGATATTTTGTATGGAATGTTGTCTGCTGACATGAGAAGTTCACTGTATATCATAGTAATAAATACCATTTATTACAGCATTGATATTTTGTTTTCTTTTTAATTTATACACATTAAATATTACATATATGTATGTAATAAAATGTGTATTTCCATTACAGGTTTAGGTCTTAAATTTCATATAAGGTGGTATTAAAAAGGTCTTAAAAAGTCTTAAATTTAACTTGTTCAAGTCTGCAGAAACCCTGATATCTGACTGGATCATATTTTTTGGACGACCATAACATTTACATTATACACTTGAGGAAACAACCCAAAGTAGACATACTGATCTGATAAACCTTAGGCTGAAAATGGCACAATTTGCAATGGACATTGACAAAATAATAAAATTATTTCTCAAAAGACATAAAACTTCAGGGTTGATCCACCATTGCTTTTTCAACTGATGTATGACTCATATTGACAGGGGAATATCCCATATGTCTGCTTAAATGGCAGACGCTACAGCACGTCTGTGATTCATATTGGGTTTATTTCCACATAGGAATGAGCTCTAAATGGATCTGAGAATCCATGCACTTTTTGTTCCTGCTTACATGTTCGTGGGTCATATTCGATCTGTGCCACTTGGGAGGAAAAAATAGGATTTGGGTCACTTTGAACTGTAATGTAAATGCCAGTCTTTGTGAAGTTACAGTGTTCCCACATCTTTGGAGAGCTAAAGTTGTGATTTCAGATCTAGGAAAGTCACGGGGAAAAAAAAAAAGTGCGTACAGCATGCGAAAGTTTGGGAAACCCTTGTAGAATCTGTGAAAATGTGAGTAATTTTAACAAAATAAGAGAGATCATACAAAATGCATGGTATTTTTTTATTTAGTACTGTCCTGAGTAAGATGTGTGTGTGTGTGTATATATATATATATATATATATATATGTGTGTGTGTGTGTGTGTTTATATGTTTATTTTTATATATGTGTGTGTGTTTTTATATATATATATATATATATAAACAAACAAAACAACGTGTGTGTATATATTATTTTTTTTGTTTGTTTTTTGTTTTTTTGCCCACCTGACTTAAGAGTCAAATGTCGCCCGTGTGTGTGTGTGTGTGTGTGTGTGTGTGTGTGTGTGTGTATATATATGTATGTCAGTTGATGGCCTTTCATTTTTAACCAGAAATGTGCACGCTGGTTTTCTGATGTTCACTTGCTTTTTCCCGTGTCTTTTTCCCGTGTCACTTGAAATGTTTCCATTTTGAAACGTTGTTACCAAAGGCGAGACACGTGAGGAAGAAATAAACGATCAGTTGTGGGACTATATTCTGTCATAAATCGCACACCATTCATTGCTGAACTTTCTACCGTCCGTTACTGAAATTAATTAAATTAAATTACTGGTTGATATGTCCCGATCTCAATAATGTTTACACACGCTTTTGGTCCGTGAACTAGATCTCGCTCGGGACGCGCGCTGTCTGTGGAGGTTTGGCCAGGACCGGTTCCAGAATTAAATCAACATATTTTATGTTCCGTCCATTGCCAATCACTGCTATTTCGAGAGTGAATCCCGTGTAAATATGCGGATGTCATTCCTGAAACTTTGCAGGGTGTAGCCTATGTGTCCGAAAACAAAAGTTTCATGCAAATTCTGAATGGATTATATCCTATAAAGTGCACAAAGTGCACTCACTTTATCACTAAAAAGCGTCACTCAACTTCGCTCATTGCGATCTTACAAAGTTCCGTTATAATCAATTAAGCTCTCTAAACTGCACAATAAAGCTCTTATTTACTTTGCGTCTGCACTTAGTCATGAGATGAATCACGAGCGTGCAAAATTGCACTTAAAAACTGCGGCGCTTTCAGCGGTGAGTGAATTCTGACAAAACGTTTCTGATTGGCCATTGCGTTCAAGAAATCAACAGATATGTCTGTGATTGGTTACATTGCTCAATGCTGCAAAAACACGTTGAGGGTATTAAGCGCTTGGCTAAGCTCTGCAGCGGGGCCGACATCAGGGATTCCATGGCTAACAATTTGGGGGGGAATGTCGCCCGTGTGTGTGTGTGTGTGTGTGTATATATATATATATATATATATATATATATATATATATATATACACACACACATACATGT